TCTTCAACACGTGACATTTCAGCTGTTACACTTCACTCCCCTCAGTTTTTTGGTCCGCAGGCAAATAAAAGGTGATGATTTAGATTCTTGCTTGCTTTTTGGTCTGTTGTTTGTCATATGTAGATAACAACAGCAATAAATCAAAAGCGCATTTGATGTATTTTAATGTAAACACACTTCTATCTTCTTTTTTTTTTCCCCTCAATGTAAACAAATAATTGTATATACATATATTCAACGGCAAGTATAAGTAGTAAAATTGTGGCAATTAAATGCTGACAGTCATTTTAATGTTTCATAAACGAAAATCAGAGACAAACTAATCAAAAAAATATGTCTCTGGCGAAAATATACATCTGTACTATTAAAACTATTTTACTCGCAGCAGCGCTTTACTATAATGGTGTTATATTAACACACATGACATCTACATGTACACTATTTAAGAAATAATGTATCATTTTTAAACGTCTATCGGGATATAAATACGGATTGGTCACGAGATCAAATTCCATAAAGCCCGAAGGGCTTTATGGTAAATTTGATCTCGTACCAACCCGTATTTATATCCCGATAGATGTTTAACAAGAGGCCCATGGGCCACAACGCTCACCTGAGTAACTTTGGCCTTGCTGTTTTTCACCCGATTTCCCCCTTGTAATACCTATTGTGGCCCCGCCCTACCCCAGGGGTCATGATTTGAACAATTTAGAATCTATACTACCCCAGGATGCTTCCACATAAGTTTAAGCTTTTCTGGCCCAGTGGTTCTTGAGAAGAAGATTTTTAAAGATTTTTTCCTACATTTTTCAATGTAAAACTTGGATTCCCTATTGTGGCCCCGCCCTACCCCCGGGGGTCATGATTTTTACAATTTAGAATCTACACTACCCCAGGATGCTTCCACATAAGTTTAAGCTTTTCTGGCCCAGTGGTTCTTGAGAACAAAATTTTTAAAGATTTTTTCTACATATTTCAATGTAAAACTTGGATTCCCTATTGTGGCCCCGCCCTACCCCCGGGGGTCATGATTTTTACAATTTAGAATCTACACTACCCCAGGATGCTTCCACATAAGTTTCAGCTTTTCTGGCCGAGTGGTTCTTGAGAAGAAAATTTTTAAAGATTTTTTCTACATATTTCAATGTAAAACTTGGATTCCCTATTGTGGCCCCGCCCTACCCCCGGGGGTCATGATTTGAACAATTTAGAATCTACACTACCCCAGGATGCTTCCACATAAGTTTCAGCTTTTCTGGCCCAGTGGTTCTTGAGAAGAAGATTTTTTAATGACCCCACCCTATTTTTGTCTTTTCTTGATTATCTCCCCTTGGAAGGGGGCTTGGCCCTTTATTTTAACAATTTAAACTCCCCTTCACCCAAGGATGCTTTGTACCAAGTTTGGTTAAAATTGGCCCAGTGGTTCTTGAGAAGAAGTTGAAAATGTGAAAAGTTTACAGACGGACGGACGGACGGACAGACAGACGGACGGACGGACGGACGGACGGACGACGGACTACGGGTGATCAGAAAAGCTCACTTGAGCTTTCAGCTCAGGTGAGCTAAAAATGATACATTATTACTTATAGAGGGCGGAGCCCTCTCACGGGCCCGAAGGGGCCGTGAGAGCGAAGCTCTCCCTATAGGTAACACGTATGTATGTTAAATATATTGAATTCTATTGTAAACTATGTTTTTGTTACAATACCTATGGAACTGAGAACCTTGTCGCCAATATGGCGTCCATAGTCTTTTCCATCTTGAATCTCGCGACAAATTCCCGCATAAACGAGATGCTGGAGAATCGTAATTTTAATTTCAATCCTGCGTTAATGAAATTTTATCAATTCTTATAATCAAAATCACCCTTATAGTACACATCCTTGTTACTTTCGTTTTCAACTAACTTGGACTCAATCGTCATAGACCTGACATGTGACGTCATTCATTGACTGCAGCGGAAACTGTTGAATTTTTAACAACTTGTAATAATTGATATTTCATATGCGTAACCTCTTTTTAAAAACAGATTTATTCACCTTTTAATAAACCTTACTATATTTTGGTGAAACAAAAACTCAGTTTAACGAATTCCGGTGACGTCACTGTCTAGACTGCGTACTACGCACTACGGAGGGGCGGATCTTTCTGTGGCCCCTTTCACCAGACTTTAGCGGAAAGAAACAACTCTAATTTATTTGTTAATAAAATTTATTAATTACGAATGTCTTCAGGATTATTTTCAATACACAAACTAGAAATATAAGATTTTTTTGTGACATACATGTAGTATAATACTACAGTTAAAAAAATGTTTTAGTGGTAAAATAATGCATGAAAAGCTTTACTGAATTTTGGTATGAACTCAAGAAGAGGGGGAGGGGTATGCATTTTATTTTTTTTTTTTTAATTTATTTTTTATTATTAATTAATTTATCTATTTATATATTTATCTATTTATTTATTCATTCATTCATTCGTGTCTTTGTTAGTTCCTACATACATTTGCAGGTGGAGGCCTGTGTCTCATTTTTGTTGTGATTTTTTTTCTCAAAAGATTTATCAATTTTTTAAGTGTCAAATTTCAGTTTCATGAAGCTTACCATCAAAAGAGAAATCTTTGGACATGTCTGAAGTTCTAACTATCACATCAAACACGTTCCATCTATACAATCGGCATGTGGATACGCTTCAATTAAATAAAATTCCTAATTTTTATTTTAAAAAGTACTTTAAAAAATATAGAACAGAAAATTTATTCAGCCAGTTGGAACCTATGGTGGATTATGATAGTGTATTAAGTCCAAAATCATATGAGAAAAACTAAGTTCAACAATACACGAGGGAGTGAAAAACACATGACATGTATAAAATTATTAATAAAGTTTAATGCTCTCTTGGCTTAAAACAACAGAATCTTCATTTGACATTACCCATGGTAATCCATGTAGAGAGTTCAATGTTGTTGAGTAGTACTAAAAAATCTTTTTTTAAAGCTTCCACATATGATCCTTTTTATTAATTATTATGTGATGGATAGGGATGTCACAAAACATCAATTACTGATGCAGAGGGGGGGGGGGGGAGGGTTGATACATCGCTAAATATTCTGTTTGATACTTCCCAGTTTTGGTTTTAAAATTCTAATAGTTTTCGCATTAACAATTCAATATCTGGAGAAAAAAAAACTTTTATTGAGTTAAATTCGTTTTTCCAAATATTAAAAAGAAAAGATTTTTATGTTGCTTTTATGTTAGTTTTAGAAAGCACTAAAGACTATTCGAATCAGATTAGTTTTTGAAAAATGCAGAAACGTTAAATTTACTCTACATTTTTTCCATTAAAATTAAGAAAATAATTCTTAGAAATTTTGCGATGCTGATACTTTTAGCCCTCACGATACACAGCCCTAGTGTTGGTCAGATGATCAGTTTCCAAGTGTCCTGATAACCAGGAGTTAGATCATCTTCTTATAGTTTGGGTCTCAAGTTTGACTTCCGATGTAGTCCCTGACAATTATCCTTGTTTGTATTTGATGTCATGACCATGCATTGGAAGTAAAAGATGAGAATTAAATGACTTGATGTTTCTGGATTGGGGTTTTCAAATTAAGTCGTGAAAGATAAAGAAACGATGCTCATGCAAGTTCACGTATTAATTGTTGGACAGATACATAGATGAAAGAGTTAACGTTTAAGAGTTCTTGGGCCTTGGTAGGTTGAATCTCTTTCTCCATTATGCTATTTGATTTTGAGTGCTCTGGCTAGGCAATTCATGATGAAATATCTTAAATTAGTAAAAGTTTTCAAGACTTATAGAACCAAAAACCCTTGAGTTTCTTTATTTGAAATGAAAAAATATTTGAGGTAAGAGAACTTATAGCTTTTTTAAAAAAAAAAAAAAAAAAAAAAAAAAAAAAAGGACTGAGGTCTTTGTTATGATTTTCTGACACTAATTACAACTTGATTTTAAAATGATTTATCATTAAACAATAAAATGTAGAAAGTTCACTTGATGGCTCCGCCCTCACCAACGGTCGCACCGTCTAACATATTATTTACATTTATGACTTATTCATATTTTATATTTTCCTGATTATAATCTTTAACGCGTGAAATGTTTTATTTTTCAAACTCAACGGCACGTATTTGATCCATTGATTGCGCGTCGACCCTTTATGACGTCACTGAGAAATTACGTCGAACGTTTATGACGCGAGGAACCCGTGTTTATACGGAAATATTTACATTTGTTGTGTTTTTCTACTAAATAAACTGTGAAATTGATTTGAAAGTCATTTTTGTGTATACTCACGCGTAGAAATATACACGGAGAAACTCGCGCTAAAATGACGTCACAATAAGGCTACAGAGATGTTAGTAAAAATATGACGATATAGGGCAGCGAGAAATTCAAACATTGAGTATATTTTTGGTGCATTTAAACATGTAAAATGTAAATATAAGGAATGTTTTTAAGTTTAGTGTGAATTATTGGTGTGTAAATCACACAGACTTGCACGTAGGCATATTTTTCATGAAGCGCTTGCGGTCTTCATGAAAGTTTTTAGAACTTGTGCCCAATCCCTTTGTAATTAAAAACTACAATAAAATATGTTCAAACCAAAGCATTTGCAAATGTAAATATAATGCAATGAAATATAATAGAACAGAATATATTATATTCTAGATATAGTCTATATAAATGCTATTTTAATATAAAACTGTTCTCGAAGTATGAACACTGGCCACTCGATATACAGGTACATGTATATTCGGCAAGACTGCAGTTGTTTGCATGATTTTCATATTAGAAAAAATGCAAAAGATACAAGTTATTCGGGAAAAAATAAGCCGACATATATTGGTTTAAATATTATATTAGACAAATCCTCATCTCTTGAATGTTTCTTACTTCATACCGTTGAGCAGAGTGTTTGAGCATTATTTTAACATCGAGTAGGTGTCCTTGCCATGCGAAAGTCGCATAGTGACTAGTGTCATGATAGTCGGAATTAAGACCATAGGCTGTGATTTTTAGGCATCGTTTTGATCGAAGGATATGTTTTTTTGATTTTTTTTTTTAGAAAATGCAGCATGTAAAATTTAATGACTGACCAATGAGAGAACGGGTAAATTTCACAGAGGCTGGTTTCAGGATGGTGTATTTTTGTTTGTTGCATGTTTTTCTGTCTATTTCAATATACATGTACTGATTAATATGTTGAAGTTACGACCAAGGGCACTGGAAGTTAATGTATAAATATTGAGTATGTGCATGAACATACTCAATATTTACATTAACTTTCAGTGCCCGTGGGTACGACCATTGGGACGAACGCAGTTGTGTATGTTATTGAATAGCCTACCTATTCACTAGATCTGCCTCTTCAAACCGCACGAGTTGTTTGGAAGGTCTAAATTGAGACAACACATGACGTCGTATGTAAGTTGCATAACAAAGTCTGAAATGTTTAAATTTTTTTACAAATAGGGTTAAATCTACCATCTATCTACAATGTCCATTAAATCAGGGTTATAATATTTATTATTTTGGGTAGACTTTACTTTACCGGTCCCCAGATCCGCAGATCCGTGCGCTCATTGCACTATGACAGATATGATTTACGTCACTCAACTGATAAGGGTTAGTCTTGCACATTTTCGACTGGTTAGGGTTAGTTTTGCATCCACCTGAGAGATTAGGGTTGGTCCTTGCACAAGTATTCAACTGATTAGGGTTAGTATCGCATCCATCCGAGAGATTAGGGTTAGTCCTCGCACATTATTTGACTGATTAGGGTTAGTCTAGCATCTGCCTGGAATATTTGGGTTAGTCCTCGCATACATGTACCATCCGAGAGATTAGGGTAAGTGACTCGTTCTTTTAGATGAATTAAGAAATTCAGTTGCTTCTGTATTTTTTGCAAGATCTTAATTCAGCGTCAATGGCATTTCGTTGGTTTGTTTACATGAAAAAATGGCTAAGTACGAAAGAAACGACACTAAGCATGTGCCGCACGCGCTTCGTTGAAAATTATTTTTTGTCAATTTTTCAATGAATAAACAATATTCATTAAATTTTTTTCAGAGAACGTGGTTTAAAACTTCGTTTAAAAACGAAGTTTTAAACTAAACTTTTAACCGTAGAATTCGATTTTGGGGTCAAAAAGGGCAAAAACCTCATACTTTTGAATTTTTTTTATCGCTCACGCGATCCCATATATACTGAAGTCGCCTACGGCGACACTATATTTTAGCGCGTTTTTTCTGGGGACAGGTAAAGTAAAGTCGTTCAATTATTTTACATTGTTTGTTTGGTTATCACAAGACTTTTTTGGGATGCCATACATGCATGTATGCAATATTAAGTACTGGGACTGTGGGGAAAAAAATGCTTGGGATCAATGTGCACAGTCTGAATTTTCTCTTCGCCCAGCCATTGCCTGAAGAGCTCACAGTGACAATCTGCATTCTACACCCCTTACTGTGCTTGCTACAATTAAAATCGAAAATTGCTGAAATTTACAGTTTTAAAAATTTGAATTATAAAATTTTATATTTAAAACATGTATAGAACATGCAGTGAACCAAAACATCTTTGACGCATAGCACTGAAATCAAAAGCAATGGAAGTGATGATTTCTCATTATTTTAAGTGTACAGGCATCCCAGAAAGTCTAGAGATAACAAGTTTGGTGTGTTTTCTAACCTATCTAGACTTTCCGTGCTATTCCGGGATGTGTCTATACTTTACAAATGGCAGATGATAGAAAGGTGTTATTCAATCAATTTTGAAGTGAAATCTTACCCGACACTGGTAGGAAAAGTGTAGATATTGATTAAAATCAAGTGTGAACCGAGGTACCCCCTGGAATCCAAGATGATAGTTTCATCCCTTCTTTTTTATGTACAAGAAATACAATTTGATAAATACATCTGTTTTGTTGGAGATAACATGTAGCAGAATGGTCTGGAGTCTTTATGAATTTGACACATTTATTAGCAATATTAAACTTTGCCAAATGTAAAATTTCTCAAAGAGCTCAGTTGAGAAACAATTTAAGTGCAGTTTGCATTAATTTTTATCAACACACAACAAAAACAAAACTTGTATTTAAATCCTTCATGGTCAATTTGAATAAATCTAAATAATCTTACAAGGAAATATGCTTTTTGAATTTTATTAAAATGTTTTTTTTTTTTTTCAGATGACTGTGAGATGCATGTGCTTCCAGTTCAAATAAACTCTGTCACATGGCAAAAGATCACATCATTGTAGACTCACTGTGAAACATGGCATCAGGTGACAAACCACCCGTAGAAATTCCCAGTGGTTCATCAGAACCACTCAAAGAAGAGGAGAGTGTATTTTCAAAGCTGAAAGGATATTTTAATAAAGCTCCCGAGGGAAATGAATTATTTGCTCCCATATTTCCAGTGTCTCAGGGTCCATATTCTCCAATCAGTAATGAAGAGGTAGATGCTTTCATTGCAAATGAAACAGGATGGGATAGGATAAAACATATGTTTTCCTATAAGTGAGTATTTAGAAAACATAAATATGTTTTCTTACAAGTGAGTATTTAGAAAAGAAAGTGTATGTGTGTGTATAAATGCAAATTTAGAAATATTATTAGTTGTACAGTCACTTAAATATGGATTCAGAAATTTACAGAGTTCCAAAACAAACTGTATTGGATGAGGCAAAGCCAGTTCAAGTTTTTGTGGACCCCATACATTTATATATTACCTGGAGTACCTCTCTAAATTACTTGAAGATGAATTTTTCCCATTGGAAGTAAATTATATTAATTTTTTGTTTGTTTCTGATCTATTTATTAAAATTAGAGAATTAAGCAACTGAATCAGAAATGATGCTCAGCAATCTACTTCAGAAGAAAATCACCTTGCTACTCAGAAACTAAATGATGATTTCTCTGAACAATTTTTTTTCCTTCCAGTTTTGGGGTGAAAAGAAATGATACATGTACATATTCTGTCATTTTATTCTGCATGGGCAGATAAATTGCATACTTACTCAAAGTTTAAAATAGAGAGTCATCGATGGGACAATGCATAGTTTGAATATAGGCTAGAAATCTGGAACCAAAATGATTTGAAATGCATGTGATATCATTATCTTTTCATTATAATAAGCATATTAGCATGTGTTTTATTTTCTTATTGTTCTTTTATTTCAGTCCTTTGACAAAATTCAGTGCTGACCTGTACAATGTATTCAGTGTAGCAGCTCCCGTGACAATCTTCTCCGGTATGATTATAGGAGCCCTCCGATACCCCAGGGCCAAAGAGGACTTCATGAGAAGTCCAGAGAGAGGGCTAGTGAAATTTCAGAGGAAAAATCTTCGAATGGCTAAAGTAAGTTTGGTTATATCACAGTGTGTAGTAATTCCAGGTGAAGGAACACATGGTATTCACTTGTGCTAAAATAGAAGCATTTTATACCTCTTGCTATAAAAGGAAAAGTTGCATGTAGGGGAAAATAATAGACATGTATTTCTATGAAATAACAATAAACATGTAGAATTTGAGAGTAAATTTTTGCTTTCAACTTCCAAAATTTGATACACATGACCATTAAAATGAATTTTGATATTCTCATTCTGCATCGAATAATAAATGAGGGATGAGAAGGTGAAATTTTTAATTTGAATAATTGTAATGTTCACAATCAAATAAGATTGTAATGGTCCAGGGTGATCTATCCTGTGATACAAAAAAATGATTTTATATGGCTTTAAATAACGCATTATATTGTTCTCCATTTGTTATGAATCAACAATCAGATTCAAAAACCATTACTGTCATTTTGATGAGTAAATTAGAATACATATTGATAATGGTATAAGGATCTGTAGGAGGGATTTTCATTATGTTGCTTGTCTGTTTCAGAGGTATAAGTATGATATTATCACACTGGATGTGATGAAGACAGCTGGTCGAGCAGCATTTAAATTTGGTGGATTTTTTACATGTATTTTGTGAGTGTTTGGTTGTTATATTGTTATTTGGTTTTCAAATTTATTGAAGCACAGCTGTTAGATTTTTTGCAAGAAAATTATGCATATTATACTCTGAGACAGAAAATGATGCATCATGTAATCATTCCTTTATCTTACTGCTTTGTTACACTGTGTTCAGCAATTTAATACTGAAAATGTACTTTTTTCTATGGGGTTATAATTCCATGGAAGCACAATTTCTGTTCAATGCACAGATAGATTACGCAGCCACATTTCTTAAACTGATATTATGCATCTTAGATGCACTTTAAGTATGCTGTGACAAATTTCCGCCAAAAATCTGTGACTGTGCATACATCTGTACACAGCATAAATTAATCCAGCACCAAAAATGTATGTCTACAGTTAGTAAGTAAATGAAATATTGCACCATAGAAATTGTCTATATGCTTTTTTTTTTTACAGACTGGTGAATCAGACTTTAGCTACATACAACAATAAGTCAAGTCCACTGTATTATGGGGCAGGGGGAGGTAAGTACTTTGTATGAAATAGGAGGTTGCTGTGAGGTTAATTGGTGGAGGGGGAGGCTCTGCACAAGGGGAGAGGTGCTTACATGTACATGTACATTGTAAGAAGAGGGGAAAAAAGTACTGTAAATGTGGAAATGTTCTTGTGGGAGAAATTTTTGCAAATTCTGCGATTTGTAAAGTTTTGCAAAATTTATATCCACGTGAATTGTTTCATATAAGGTACTGTAGTAAACAACAAAGCAACACATTTTGTAAATTCCTTAACTTCTGCAAAAATAAGCCCCATGTGAATGCTTTGTTCCATGAAAGTGGCATAATTTTACCCCGTAAAAATATCCTCATTTGAAGTACTGCTGAGAAAATGCTTGATAGATAATTGAGAGTAAGTGATTTGATTTTCACATATTTTGCCATTGTGAATAAAGTATTGTATCCATCAGTGTTAAGTTTAAAACATAAAACTAAAAAAAAAAAAACCAAAGACTACTAGATAGGTACACGTTCATACATAGGAATCTCATTATTGATAGGGCTTAATTACCCTCACACCCAGGTCCAGTAAAAGGAACCCTGTCCCAATTGAAAATTTACTCCTTTTTCTCCCCAAAATTTAGGGAAAACTCCCAAATGAAAAGCAGACTGAATTTTTCAGTGCTTTTTATATTAAAAAAGAATGAGAATTTTGAGATTTTAATGATTCATAAAGAGCAAGAGCCACTTAGGGCCTTTATTGGCCCTCTGAATTTCTGAAAAATCGAAACTGCTCAGTTTTGGTTGACAATGCAGTATTTATCACTTGGACCCTTGAACATGACGTAATTTTCTCTGTAGTGAATGCATTATGATGTCATAAAATGCATCATTTTTCCCATATTCTGTAAATTCCCTTAAAAATGGCCAGACATTGAGGTATTTTTTCAATATTTCATATAGAGCACAACCTCTGATCCAAAATATGCAACTACTTAATGAAAGATCTGTTTCTGAAGATCACAAAACATATTTTAAGTTTTGGATCATGGGCTGTGCTCATATTTTAATTCTTTGCTGAAGGTAGTGAAATACGCATGTTTCTGCAAAATTCAAGAACACTGCATTTTCTCAAAGCCTGTTTTCCAATACCTGGATTCTCAAAAAGAAATTCTGTTGTAGGAAATGAGAGCGCTAAGTCTCTACTTTATATTGATATATGAAATGGGACAGAGGGTGATAGTCAATTGATATAAGGACAGTGCCATTTTATGCATAAAGTGAACCTAGCTCTTTGTGAATCGGGAATAAGCCTTCAATCTAACTCTTTATTTAACAGTAAAACTTAATATAAGCCATCAATATCTCCAAATTTTGACACTTTTTCGATCTAAATTCCCAACTGCAAGGGTACAGAACCGTGTACAAAAATGGGTCAATTAAGCCCTGATTGATATTGATAGTTCTTTAAGAATTGTACTGTTAGTACATGTACATGTAGTACTATTGGAAATATCTTAAAGTTTAACATGTTAAATCCTATGATATCTGATTCTGAAACACTCTGATATTTGCAGCGGCAGCTGGAGCACTCAATAAATTCAGCTACGGTGTCCGGGCGATGGTGTCAGGGGGTACAGTAGCTGGTATAATGGGGTAAGATCTTGTTGCATACATTATATAGCAGGGTCACAAATTTAACCAAATTCTAATCATGTGTAATTTCTTTGATTGCCCAGTGTTTGCAGAATCAAAACAAAATTGCAAAAAATGAATTCTCTTAACTTTCAAAATCCTGACTTTGGAATACACAAATGAATATACTATAAGTTTTAGAATGGTTCTATGAAGGACTATATTGCATAAATTTAAATGAGAGAAATATCCATTATAAAGTAGATGGTAGTTTTTGAAATTCTGAATTTGATATTTCTTCTCATCAGACTAATGATTGACATTTTTCCACATCTAGGTTGCTTTATGGTGGCGCATTTTGTGTATTTTTAAATCATTTTGGTATGACACAAGATAAACTTCACTGGGAGGATGTTAAAAAGAGACTTGAAGTTGGGGTAAGACCAAAAAATTGCTGTATGCTGAAAAAGATCAGAAATAACTCAAAATTTATTCTTTTATACATGTCAGATATTTATTGTTTGTTTTTTTCTTTATCTGTTGTTTTATTATTTGAAGCTTTATTTTTGCTTACTTTTCCAATAAGAATAAAATATTTAAACCTCTAGAAAGATTATCAGATTACTGTATAAATGTAATTTTTAGCGAGACACAAATTTGGCGATTTATCCTTTAAAATCGGTATATATTTTTAGCGAGAAGTAATTTTAGCAATTTTGTAATGCCAACAAGAGAAGCCATTACAAGCGATACGCAATTAATTGTCAGTGATATTCAATTTTAGCGATCTCAACACACTCGCTAATAATGCCAAAATTGAATCCTCACTAAAAATTTTGCTTATATGGTATATGAATATTTTTATTTTTAAAAAAAGGGGGGTGGGTGGTTTATTTTAAAATGGAATAAAAATAAATACATGTAAAGGGTGGATAAATACTATAAGCAAATGCAAAACTCTACTTAGTCTATATATATATAGTTAATATTGACATACATGTATGTTTACTGTCTGATGTCATTTGCTCTTTTCTCTTGACAGTTTGAACAATCCCAGAAGAAGTATGAGAATAAAACAGACAGTAATATAAAAAGCAAAGGCTCCTGACAGTGTGACAGATTAGATAATTAATATATCTGAGTAAGACTTTGTTCATGACAGTTATTTTTATTGCTGTGTGTACTTCTTTTTGTATGAGAGTTGTGTCACATTGAACATTTACGTAGCTATGTGATATTTGTTGTAAGAGAAGTCAGTGTATTTCATGTGATATCAAAATTATTTTATGCTAACACTCACATGATATGAACACTCATGTCAATGTATATCTGAATAAAAAACTCAGGCAGAGTATTCAACTTGATGTTCACTTGCTGAAAAATATTGATTCAAATTTTGAATATCTAACAATGGGGATGGTTTCACAGTTGTCTCCCTTTTTACAACTCGCAAACAATTTTTGAAACTGAGTGACTGAGTGAGTAGATTTTAATCAAATACCTTTTAAATAATAAATGGAAGGAATGTAAGTATTTAGTGTGAAATAATTTTTTTTCCTTCATCACACTGTGTCATAATTAAAAAGGAATGTGCATAAAAATTTTCATAACAATTCATTAATGGATATTCTGTTTGCAAACCTTCACTTGATCATGAGTTGTAAGAACATGATTTGAGTTGCATTTACAAAGTGTTACAATGTCAATTTTGTTTTGACTAGCACCTGATTTTAGATTAACAATTGGAATATGTCACAACTCAATGCAAAACATGATCATTCCATGATATTTATGCCTTTGTTTTATGTATATTTGACATTAAAAATGTTAAATGACAAAAAGAATTCTCAGTCATTCCCACACAAATATTTACAATGCTGTATAATGCATCCTTCCAAAAACATGCTGTTTGCAAAGGTCTCTGCAATATTTATCAAGTTCAAGTTGAAGTAGTTTATTTACTTGTCACATGCTATGTAACATACATTTTAGTATTTAAAAAAAAAAAACACTTTATACAAAATACATATGTACATAAACACCTTGCCTAAGGAGGCAAATGAGACACTATTATATAGTAAAAGTTAGTTAATGACCATACGCAACCCTGATTCCACAAATAGTGAAACTTGCCCAGGTGGGATCCAGGAATAAAACTATTTAATGGTGGTGGTGGTGGTGGGGTCCACATTTTCTAGCTGGAGGGATGTTTATCCAAGGTCATTTTTTTTATTTGATTCAGTATATACTTTTAATAACTCTGCAAATTCCAGGGGTTGGGTGGGTCCATACCACCAGAGAATGTTGTCAGATGACCAGTTCTTATGTCACATGACGTTTTAAAATCAAATAATTATGTTCTCCCCATGCTTGTTTTATCCAGTATGTGGCTAGAGTTGGTGACTTATTCATTTCTCTTTTTGGTATGATTTTTGTTTTGTTATGTTTTTTTTTCAATTCTCTGGCTATCAGAATCACCATAATTTTTCATAGAGGAAAAAATACATTTGTGTTCAATTAATTTTTTTTCAACTTTGTGTAGACGACATATCACTTCAAAGGGTATTGCCAGTATAAACATTAAACTCATATAAAATAAAATTTGGTGTATGCAAGTGTGTCATTTCTGGCAATGAAATTGTGCAAATATTAACCATTTATGGTAAAATTTACATTATTTAGTGTATTTATTTCTCAGATTTTTTTTCTATAGAAAAATTATTATTAAATACGTAAATGATTTAGTACCAATGCTGAATTACAGTACATGTCTTGCATAAAATTTATAGAGTTACAACTTTATAATTAGTGGGAAAGCAAACATTTCAAAAAAGCAAGTTGTCTAAGATCAAGTGTCTTTAGATCTTTATATTCTTTCCCATCTATCATCCCAGATTTGTTCCTCTTCTTTGGTCTCATAATCTCAGAATTTTGAAAAGTTTTTCTTTAAAAATATTTTTCTCTGCTCCTGGATATTAAGCAAACAAACTAAATTCATGATAATGATGAGCAAGGGTGTCTCTTCCAAAATTGTTCATGGCCCCAAGGCCAGGGGTTCTGGTGTTAGGGCAGGGCTCTGTTGGTCATAAAGTAAAAATATAATATTTCTTTTAAAATCTTTTTCTCTGCTTCTGAATATTAAACAAACTAAGTCCATGATAATGATGAGCAAGCAAGGGTGCCTCATCCAAAATTGTGAAATTTATGGCCCCTGGGTTAGGGGTTCTGGTGTTAGGGTAGGGCTCTGTTGATAATACAGTGTATGTACTTGTAGTAAAAATGCATGTATTCTTTGAAAATCTCTTTTTTTTTCTCCCCGTGTATTTTGACATACAACTTAGAGCATGATGATGATAATCAAGGGTACATGTACTTTATCCAAATTTGTGAAATTCACAGCCCCTGGGTCAGGGATTCTTATGTTAGGGTTCTGTTGATAAAATAGTGAAAATGCATTAATTCTTTAAAATTTCTACTCTGCCCCTGAGTATTTAGCAAACAAATTTAGTGAATGGTTATGATATTTCTTCCAAAATTGTAAAATTCATGGCGCCTGGGTCAGGGTCCTGGTGTTAGGGTGGGGTTCTATTGATTACATTTATAGTGAAAATGCATAAATTCTTTGAAAAGCCTCTCTGCCTCTGGGTATTTAGCAGTTAAACTAAGTGCTTGGTTATGATGAACAAGGATGCATTTTCCAAAATTGTGAAATTCATGGCCCCTGGGGGGGGGGGGGGGGGGGGGGGTCTGTTGATCACATACTAAAAATGAAAAGCTTCTTCTTTGCACCTGGGTATTTAGCAAACAGACTAAGCACATGGTTGTGATGAGCAAGTATGCTTCTTACAAAATTTGTGAAATTCTTGGCCCCAGGGGTTCTGGTGTTAAGGTGGGGCTCTATTGATCATAGATGAAAATGCACATTTTTTTTTAAATCTTCTCTGCCCTGGGTATTTAGTAAACAAAGTAATTGCATTTCAAAGATGTGCAAGGATGCCTCTTCCAAAATTTTGGAATTCATGGCCTCTGGGTTTACAGAGGTTCTGGTGGTGAGCAGGGTGCTATTGATTATATAGTGAAAATGCAGTAAGACCGCGGAACATTAACTGGCAAAATTGGAAATATACAGCTTACGTCTTTTCCATCTGCTGCAGTCAAAACATTTAATGATAGACAATGAATTCGGCACGGACGTCCGAGAAAACATCGGATTGAAATTCTAGTTTGAAATTCATTTTCAATCCACCTGAGCTGTTTTCAAACGCAGAGTGTGAATGTATGATCCAAAAGACAAATAATTTCAATTCCCAAATACATGTTGTTTGAAATTCATATTTATCCTTGTTTATACGAGTTTTTAGCCTATAATTTTAAGGACACGAGGTAATGACAAGAGGTAATTTCTTTAGTTTTGTCTTCACTGAAAAATGTTTGACAATCAAAACAGGGAGGGGTTGTCCAAACTAAAAAAAGAAACTTTCTCTTTTATTTCCAAGATCGTTCAGTGATCGTCCCCCTCCACCCCCAACACATGTATGCACATACCTAACAGAAATCAAATATTTGTTCCTTTATATTTCTTTAAAAATACTGGTCAGTAATTCTGATTTATATATTAAAACTTCAAAATATTCCGAATTTGAAATTATTTGTCTTCTGGGTCAATCAGTAACACATTGTCTTCTATCGTAGCTGAGGTGGATTGAAAATGAATTTCAAACTAGAATTTCAATCCAATGTTTTCTCGGACGTCCGTGTCGAATTGTATACCCGCCCATTCCATTATCTTAAATGTTTTGATTTTAACAGATGGAAATGACGTAAGCTGCGTATTTCCAATTTTGCCAGTTAATGTTCCGCGTTCTGTATATCTTTAAATTCCCATTATTTCAAGATATGTCGTCTGAAGTTGCAAATGAAAACATACATTAATGTATAACAGTATTTGATTTGAAGCTATACGTGCATTAAAATTACGAACACAAGCAAATGTGAATGAAAATGGATGGCGACATAATTACGAGTAATTGATTAAACATTTATAAATTCATAATAATTTTTTTGCAAAAATGGTGACCCATTCCCCAGGAAAGTGCATCATCGGTCCTCGCCACGAACTAAATTGAACTCTCCATAGCTCTCCCTCCCCTCTCTCTCTCTCTCTCTCTCTCTCTCTCTCTCTCTCAGCGGATACTTCTTCAGGAAGAGCAGATGCGGGTTACAAAATTGGGCTACGGTAAGTTCATATAGGTTTAAAGAAAAAGGGGTGAACCTTTATATAAGTTGTTGCACAGCTTGGTGTCAGCGATTCTGTTATCGGAAGTTTGTTGGAACGATTTTAATAGACTAATAGCGGAGACCTAAAAGTGGTCGCCCGAAAAGCACAACTGTTGACAAAGATCAACAAATAGCACTTCTTGCTAAGAGAAATCGAATGTCATCAGCAGTTGCCCTCAACGGAGAGCTAACAGTAGCAACATGCATACGAATCTCCATACATACCTTGCGAAACAGACTTCATGATGAGAGATTACATGCCAGACGAACCTGCAGTGCGCCCACTTTTGACCGTAAAACATCGCAACCGTCGCCTACAATTTGCTCAAGACCATGTCAACTAGGACCAACATCATATTCAAGGAGTGCTATGGACTGGGTGAATACAGACTTTGTCAGCATGTGCATATCAAAGACGGTCTTAGATGTGTATTGGGGGGGGGGAAACGTGATTCAATGACTGTTGCATTGCTGAACACGACCAGTTGGTCAGTGGGTCAGTCGTGTTTTGGGTAGACGTCAATTACAACGGTATCACAGACCTCGACTTCATAAGGAACGGATCTGTTGTCGATATTCGCTACAGGGATGAGATCGCTGCACCTATTGCTAGACCTTAAGCTGAAGCCTGTAGTCGTATGCTGGTGACAATTTCATTTTGACGGATGACAATGCCATATGCAGGCCCCACCGTGCGAGAGTGTTCAACTAGTATCTGGAAGAGGAAAAAATCGTCAGTGTGGATTGGCCAGCAAAATTACCTGACCGAATCCAAAGGGCATGCGTGGGACATGCTCCAGAAACAATTTTTACAAAGGCAAAACCAACCAAACACAATCTGTGAACTTGAGAAATTGCTCTTGTGCAGGAATGGTATAGAATTCCCCAGGATAGCCTTAATTAACAGTTTCCCAATGCGATGCAGGGAAGTGATAGTGGCTAGAACTAGGTGGTTATACCAGATACTGACAAAAAAATTTGGACTGATCATATTCATTAAACCTATATAAGCATGCTAAGTCCTTATTTTTTACCCTTTGAAATCCAGTGATGATGGATTTCCTCAGTTTTTCTTAATGAATGTTGT